CCCCCCCCCCCCCCCCCCCCCCCCCCCCCCCCCCCCCCCCCCCCCCCCCCCCCCCCCCCCCCCCCCCCCCCCCCCCCCCCCCCCTTAAGCGAAAACAACTTAATTTAGCAATTTAAAGTAATTCAACAGGTAGCTCATTCCATTGTCTTACAAGGAAAAAACATAACATAGCAAAAACATTTTTCATTCCGCGTGGTAAACGTATATAAGTGGCCTGCCGCACGAGAACGCATAGATATAGAAACAGTTGGGTAATTAGGTAATCTTTGAGACAGCGATGACAGTGTGAGTCCTTTCCTCCTATAATCGAAGTCCACCCTAAGATTCTAAGTACCTTGTCTCGTGAGCTCAAATACATAGCAGCGCTAATAATCAAACAAACTTTATACTGTAAGTCATACATCGGTCTGAGATGAGCTGGAACATGATTAACATTATTAGTTTTTGAATGTAATTCTTTTAAAGAAGTATAAACTGTATCAGCAACGGCATTGTATATAATCCGAACTTCTGATTAAGAGTTGATGTGCTCAATAAGTGTTTATTTCGTAGCATTAAGTAGAAAATGTATTTGCACAATTTACATATTTTTTTTACATGCAATGACCAGTCTTGAAGTTTCGTTAGAAATACTTCTGGATGTTTATGACTGTCAACAAATTTTAATGTAGAAGCGCTGAGACAAAGGTACTTCTTTCCCAAATAGAACAGTAACACATTTTTTCAAGTCTAAAAGTAATTGCTAAAATTTTGATGAAGTCTGAATTCTGCGCAAATCATTACATTTGCTGATTACATTTGATTGCTAAAGTGATGCTGTTCCTACTATGACATAATGATGTGTCATCAGCAAAAAGTCTTGCTTTTGATTGCACATCTAAACAAATATCATTGATAAACAGGCGAAATAGAAGAGGCCAAAGAATGGACCCCTGAAACTCCTCTGTTGATTGGGAGCGCTCTGGGTTTTTGGCCATTGATAACCGTAACGCATTGACTGTCAGCTAAATAGTTCGAAAGCTGCTTCAGTAAGTCTTCCGCTTACTTCCTTTATCTTCGATTTATAAAGTAATCCTGAGTAGCACACAGTGCCAAATCCTTGAATAGTCAAGAAACACAGCTAAAATAAAACTACCATTGCTCAAGTTTTCTCTAATCTCACGCAGTAGACCTACAAGCTGATCGACTGTTAAGTCTCCGTGTATAAAACCTGACTGATGAGGGGCTAATAAGCGATTCTCTTTATGTACTCATACAACGTACCGTAGATTAGTCTTTCTAATATTTCTGACATTGCAGTAAATAAGCTAATGGGTTGAATGAATGATATTACCATCTTTGAAAAGCGGATATGTAACTCCTAACTTCCATTTATTAGGGAAAACACCATTAGATAAAGGAAATTTAATGAGACATATTGTGGAACTGAAAAATATAAGTAGTTATGTTTGAATTGATCATTTATTATTTTTTTGTGTATCAAAAGATATATGTGTTAAAGGACGGGAGACGATAAGAGCCCTCACAAATTAGTCTTATGTTAACCGATCTGATATAGTTTTTGTGCGCAATTAACTCTAGCACAGTTTTAGACCTTAGAAAACCTTTTCAGTGCCCCTTGGAAACATTTTTGCAAAAAAAACGTTTCATTATTCGATCTGAACGCGACGGTTCAATCATTCAGCGCAGACAAAGTCTAGTCCTTTTAGGTTTAAAAATCAACTATAACCTTAAGTGGTGAGCACATATAGACGATCTGGTTACAATCTGCAGACAACCTCTAGGTGCTATGTACTTACCGCCAATTTAAAGAAGCTCCTGCTTGAATACGGCTTCATATTTTCAAGGCATGTGTTTTGAGCAAGCTCGATTACGCCTGTGCATTGTATGATAGCAAGTTCGAGACATTACAGAATTCACTTGAATCTGTACAAAATCTTGCGGCACACATGATTACACGGGATTTTGATATATCGGAGAAAGATCTTGTATCCTGTCTCAGATTATCTCCATTAGAGGTACGAAGAAAATATTTTCGCCTTCTACTATTTTTTAAGATCCTAAGTGGGCACTGTCCACTTTCTCGATTGAGTCTAATTTGATTAGATACAGCAAGAAGATCAAACAGATTAGCACAACACTCAAGACAGTTAGAAGTTCCTTTTGCTCCGACGGAGACTGTTTTACAATCTTTTTTATATCAAACAGCTCGAAATTGGAATCAAACTGTTTCAGAAGCAGTTATCTCATCTACCGCTATTAGAAGTTTTAAAATAAAATTAAGGCAACATCTCCAAATATGAAAATGGTAGCAAGGTTTACTGATGCATCGCACTTCTTTTGCTTTCCTGGTAATCGGTTTTTGATGTAAATTAAAGGTTTGTGTTTTTATTGTATGCTTATCTGTGTTCACATGTACAAACTGTCAGCCTTGTTGTTACCAAAATAAAAATCAATCAATCAATCTCTTTTACCTAGAGCAAGTATCAACTATTATACACTGTTCAGCAGAGAATTTCACGGGCTACAAAATGGTATATAAAATATTAACAAGAAAATGTAACTGGGTAGTCTAAGATTTAGTTTTCTAATGACATGGTACGACAAATAATGTGTTTTATCTTGTCCCTCTTTTGTAGAAAAAGTCCCCACTCCCGCATCTCCCTTCGCTAAATTCGTTTCCCTTTATGTTTTGATTAGTCGGTATTCCAGGTTGAAGCAAACAGGAGGTGAATAGTGTCTAAACAAGAATGAATACTCATCATTCATTCTTTTAAATTTTTGCTTACTTACATTTCTTTTTTATTTTGCGGTTTTTTTGTACAAAGTTCTACTATTTTTTATTTTGAATTCCGGTTATTTTCTTTCTCTCTAGGAATTGTTTTTGCTAAATTTCTTCATTTTTTAAGAGACAGCAAGGTATGTGAATTGATAGATGGGGACACCTTCCAAACTTCAATATTTTTTAGGTGTTATAATAAGCGGAACGCTTCAGCCCGGGAGATGTTGGACAGCCGATTCCATCGTTTATTTATTTTGTCTCATTTTTCCATTTCAATAATAATGTTTCGATATTTCTTATAGCGTGCGACAATGTGAGTTCTTCTTGTTTCAGATATGTTCTTTTTCTATCTCAGATATTTTTTGTTCTCTGTTATACAGTCGTGCATCTACTCAGTCAACCAGGGTATGTTGTATAAGTATCCCATGTTTCTTTTCTTTCTCTGTTAAGATATATATAAACGTGTTTTAATACTAACTACCATTTTTATCTCATTCCTCGTTTTTTTTCTTGTAGGGTCAACACGTGTATGTCGCTCATACAGAAAGGTAATTACACAATATGTTATACTATCTAGCGTAAATAATTTCAAGTATGTCTTACGTCAAAAGTAAGAGAAATAGATTGAGTCGTTTAACTTTTAAACTTAATTTTGATTACAATCTGAGATCAGAATTAAATGAGATTATTAATAATGATCAATCTATACGTGCACAAATAGCAGCTCTGCAGCCATTCAACCAAATAGTAAAAGGCACTTTCGTCACAACGCACCTTCGTCATAACGAGAGGTGCACTTTTTTGTCACATGGGACGAAAGTACGTTTTTCAGAAAAAGCATGGTGACATAAGTCCTCGTGAATTTCGGTGTGTTTTTCGTGGATGCGACGAAAATTCACCTAACGTGACGGAGTGCCGTTCTTTTTAACGATTTCTACTGAACTTTCGTTAAACGTCGTAACGTGAAAATAAAGCGTTGTAAGGTACATAATACTGTTGTAGGTATACAATAGAAGTGATTCTATTGTGTACCTATAACAGTATTATGTGTGACGAAAGTTTCTGTACCTTGCAATGCCTTATTTTGTGGCTACGGTGAATGTGAAAGGTCACTACTACTGTGATGAAAATTCGCCTCATGCAACGAAATTTTTGGTGGGTGACGAAATTAGCAATTTGATGATGTTAGTTCCTGAGGAGTGTCCCCCATCCAAGAACTTTCGTCATAATGACGATAGGGTGGTGTGACAAAAGTGCCACAATGCAACCAAATACATTATGAGTGAACTGAAAAAAACGATTTTACTTGCGCCATACGAATTGAGCTGAAACTTTGAGAAATGAATAATGAATTGTACTTGTTCTTTTTACGAAAGTTTCATGTCTACATATTGTATGGTTTAGGACATATTTGTGGATTTTAGCGATGAATGGATTTTAACGGTGGCACGTTGAACTTAACGCCGCGACGCTTTGCAAACTACTTTATACGCGGATGTTTAAAAAAATGTGTGTACTGTTGATTTATCAATGTCTGTACTAGAATAATGTATGTGAGACAATTTGTTTTACAACATCTGTATATGAGACAATTTGCAAAGCGTAGTGACGTTAAGTTCAACGTGTCATCGTTATAATCCATTCAGCGCTAAGATCGAAAAAATATGTTCTGAACCACAGAATGTGTAAATGTAAACACGAAGCTTTCCTGAAGTTTGCAAGTACAGTTTATAATTCATTTTCCAAGGTTTAGCTCCATTCATATGACGGAAGTAAAGTCGGTTTCTTCACCTCGCTCATAACGTAATCTCACAAGTAATAAATAATTCAAATGCAATTTCTGTCACCAATAATGGTGTTGGTATTACTAATAGTTGTTTATAAATATGTTGGAACTAGTAATTTATGCAGAATCAAACAACGTTTAAAAGAATTTGAAAACCGTATTGATGAAATTGATGTACATATTGACGAAATGAAGCGGTATAACTGATCTTTAATCTAAGCTTCTGAATTCCAGAACAAAAGCAAGAGCATCTACTTGTCATGTCAGATATCCCAACTGAACGGGGACTCGAAGGTATTGGTCACAGTTGTATTATAAGTCCTCATCGGATTCTTGTGAAAGACGTTAGTAAATCAAAACCCGAATCAAATGATTGTCTACTGGTATTGTCTGCTCCATTTTATTTACGTCGTGTCTATCGCAAGTTGTTAAATGCAGGACTTAGGTGGCAGGCATCCGATTTCTCAAATGTTAATATCAGAAGACCTCTCTCGTCATAAAGCTTTTTTATTTTCTTACGCTGGATCAAAAACACCAAGAACGGAACGTCATCGTATTTATTTGAGCAATGATCGTGTTTATTATTATGTTGAATATAAACATAACGTTTTATTGACAAAATTAGCTGATCTTAATATCTTATTAGTCGAACATCCTAAACAAAAGCTGGATAATGGAAGTGGACCTGAATATGTATAGCAAGTACTTTGTTTTAGTAAGCGTTTAGCTTGACCAGTCGGATGTTGAGTTTCACTTTCTATAGACATACGATTAACCGACGTTTGAGCGCCCGACATTTGAGCGCCGACACTTGAGCGCTCCGACGTTTGAGCGACCGACACTTGAGCGACCCCGACATTTGAGTAATACCGACACTTCAGCACCAAGTGTTCCCCCTCACTACCCTCACCCTCATCTGAGCGACCGCATCTGAAGGACTTCAACAATTAAGCGAAGCGCATCACTTATAGCTACTCACCCTCACCCACCCTTATCCTACACAACCTCATTCTCTATAGATCTCCAAATAATTCAGTTCATAAGCGGACGACAAAAAAATTGTTCTGACCATCGTTATCGAAGTGAATAATCATTCGACTTTCCTGATCGGCAAAAAGTCATATTGAAAAGTGTCTAATGTCAGAGTCGTTCAAACATCGGTCGCACAAGCCTCGGTCGCTCAA